ACACACACACACACACACATTTATACGAACACACACACACACACGCATACACACACACACGCACATACACACAAGGCCACACACACATACAAACGCATACACACACACTCGTACATACGCATACACACGCATACACATGCATACACGCACACATACACACGCATACACACACACATACACATACACACACACACACACACACAGACACACACACACAAAGACACACACACACACACACACACACATACAAACATATTCAAACAAACACACACACAATTATCGGAAGGGTAGGTGTTTTGAGGGAAAAGTTTGCGTAAAGTTTCGTGGCTGAGGACCACTCCAAGCTCTTAAATTTTCTTGAGTAATCCTCTGAGTCTACAAAATTAAAGCGATAAGGAAAAAATTTGTTCACTTGGCTAATAGTTTTTTTTATTTTTTATTGACAAAATGTTTATAACTCGTACGAATTGTCAAACTATATTTGAAACTTCAAACGATGTATTCACTCCCACAATATATGCAAGTAAAACCACATGACTGAATCAAGGCAAATCGAATTGTTAAACGATATGTCTCTCTGTTGTTGTTGTTTTTTCTCCCACTTTGTCCCTCTGTTGTTTGTGCATATATAAAATAATCATCGTAGAAAAATTACATATTTAAATATATAAAAAAATCAAACTGATAAAGATATCAAAAATAAATAATAGAGACACACAAACAAAAATGCAGAAGTAAAGCATCATTCACTTAAGCACAATTGTGCATACAAGTTAATGTTTGTTCCCAATAAAAAAAGTAAGAGAGTTTTTTTCTTCATAACACACTGAGAGATAAAAACACAGGGGGCAGTAATCTCAGAGAATGATAAACACAATGTCACAGGGAAAAAAACAAATATTATCCTTACCAGGGTTACCGGCGTTTGGGACGGGCCGAATGCCCGACCCCGAACACCCGAACGTACGGGACCCCTTCGGGAGGCGTTCGGCTGTTAGGGCTGAACGCGGACAAAAAAAAAACAACAAAAAAAAATAAAATATTTTCAGAAAATTCCGAAAACAAACTATGTTATGGAGACAAATAAACTAAACAACATTTGTCTGGGCACTATTCCAAATTCTTTACCAAATTTGAATTAAAAATTCAATATAGAAAATAAACACTATGATAAAAATAAGACAAAATAAAAAGAGAATTAAAATGAGTGAGTGTGCTAACACCTTTTCGACACCGCCATCTTTGGCAATTTTTAATTATTTTTTGGCATTGGCAAATGCCCTGAAAATTTACAGATATGTAGTTTGCATAATAAATAACTCATTATTATTTTTTTTTTAAATAATTAAAGTGTTTTGGCCCCGAAATAAAGTGAAAAAAAAAAGTTAAAAGTGAAAAAAAAAACAAAATAGTGAGTGGGCGAGCACGTTTTGACACCCCCATCTTTGACGATTTTTAATGTTTTGTTGGCTTAGTGGAATGGCTTCAAAATTTATAGGCGTGCAGGTTACATCATAAAAAACTCACACAAAAAACTTCAAAAAAAAAAAACTTATTTTTAGGCCCCGAAATAGTTTTTGGCAGGGGCCGAACCTAGAGGCGTTCGGCCCCCGAAAGGGACCCCGAACGCCCGAACGTTCGGGGACCAGCCTGGGGCCCCCCGAACGTTTGGTCAGGTAACCCTGCTCCTTACAATATTACAACGATAAGCTTGTACATTATCTTTATCTCAAACTCACTTAAAAAAAAAAAAAAACACCACTCTGATATCATACACCTACACACGGATTAAAAAAAAACACGAGTCTGTTCACTTTTAGGTTAAAAAAAAATATATTAAGAATCAGTTCGTAAAAAACATATTGCTCCGTATGAAGATTTTTTGTACCTACCACAAAATAGAGTGATGTAGAAATTATCAAGTATATTAAAATAATGAAGATATAATAAAAAGTGACATATTATTATTTTGAAAGTAATTGTGTTACAATCAGAGTTGCCAGGCCGAACGTACGGAGGCCCCTAAGCTGACCCCCGAACGTTCGGGCATTCGGGTCCCCATATGGGGCCCGAACTCGAAGGGGTTCGGACCCCGCAAAAAAAACTGTTTTGGTACCTAAAAATTATTATTTTTCTCTGATTTATTTTTTGTTTGTTCTGTCTTATGTAAGCTACCTGTTTTTCAATTTAG